AGGGCGGCTCTGCAGCTCTGCAGTCCCAGAGGAATGCCTGACTCAGCATCCCACCCTTAGGCCACTGGACTTCTGTAACAACCCACAAACTAGGTGGCTTATAAACAATAGAAATATGTTTCACACTGGAGACTGGGAGTCCAAGAGCAAGGCATCACCACCATCCAGTTCTGAAGAGGGCCCTCTTCCTTGTCCAGCCAGCACTTTTTCTGTGTCCTTAGACGGTGGAAGAGTCTAGGGGGCTCTCTGTGATCTCTTTTGTAAGCGCACTAATCCCAATCATGAGGGCTTTGTCCTTATGACCGAAAAGTGAAAGTGAAAGTCGCTCAGTTGTGTCTGACTCTTTGTGACCCCATGGACACACCTGTCCTCTGTCCATGGGATTCTCCAGGTAAGAATACTGGAGTGGGTTGCCAGTCCCTTCTCCAGGGGATCTTCCCGATCCGGGGATCGAACCTAGGTCTCCTGCATTGCAGACAGATTCTTTACCGCCTGGGCCACCAGGGAAGCCCCCTCATGACCAGATGCCCTCCCAAAAGCCCCTAACACCATCACACTGGGGATTAGGACTTCAATCTATAAATTCGGGGTGACATAACCATTCATGATGGCATCACTGACTCAATGGGCATGAGCTTGAGCAACTCCAGGAGATGGTGAAGGACAGGGAAGCCTGGTGACTCTTTGAGGTCGCAAAGAGTTGGACATAACTGAGCAAATGAACAACAACAAACCATTCAGTTCAGAGCACTCCCCATCTCCAGGGAAGGGGGCTGGGAAGGGAAGAGGTCTGGGGGTCTTGACAAACAGCGCCAGGGTGGGCTGCAGCACATACACCCCCAGCCCAGCCCTGGAGAGGACAGTGCCTCCTCCCACCAGCTGCCTGCCAGAGCCCTCGTGTCTGTGGGCTCAGGGCCCCGAGGGGCAGACACTGCCACTCTCTTCCCAAGGGTCCCTGTAGTCAGGGCCCAGCCAAGCTAGCCTGGGGCACCACCCTTTCCTCAGGCTGCCGCAGGGCTCACAGAAGGAGCAACAGGATATCCGTCTTTGAGCTGTCGTGAGGTTTAACCTAATGTTGGAATTTCTGGCACCAAAATGGGGACATCACCTTCCTGACCTCCGGTGGCCTTCTGACACTCCACAGAATGGCCTGTCTCCAAGGAGCTTTATCTGGAGACTGGCTCTGCTCGACGGTCTGTCTGCCTTGGGCACTACCTGTACGTTTGTCCACCCCTCCTCCTCGTGTGTGAACCTACCACACAACTTGTGGTGTCCAGTGCAAAACTATGGAAAAATTATTAAGAAAGTCAAGATGGCAACAGCAGAGCGTTAAACCACAGCAGGCAGGCGTGGGGCCACCAAGTGCAGGGCCCCCAAGTGTAGACGGCTCAGGGCCATGCCCATGAAGCCGGTCAGTGTTCATGTATGTGTGTGTGTGGCTTGCACACACATTCTCTGCGCGTTTGCGCCCTGACTCTGCCCACAGCCCACCTGCAGGGCCAGCCTCCAGCTTAGAGGAGAATCTTGGCTCTGAGCGCTCTCCTGCCTTCAGCTCCTCGGTCTCCGCACTTGGGAGCCCCCTGGGCTCAGTCTGCTGAGGGCATGCTCAGTTGTGTCTGATTCTTTGAGACACTATGGACGCAAAGGCTCCTCTATCCATGGATTTTCCAGGCAAGAATACTGGGGTGGGTTGCCATTTCCTTCTTCAGGGGATCTTCCTGACCCAGAGATCAAACCCACACCTCTTGCATCTCCTGCACTGGCAGGTGGATTCACAAACACTAGAGCAGCACGGGACCTGGGCTTAGAGGGGCTGAGAGAGCAGCTGGGATGGCAGGTGGCCTGTTCAAGTCCCAGCCCTGGTGTGGTCCCCACTGTTCTTACCCAGAGAGATGGGAATTGTCAATTCTCTGACTGGACCAGTGCTTGCCAGCGCCCTGCCCCACTGTGAAGAGGATCAGGGCTACTTCTCCAGAGCAGCCTCTGCTCTTGGCGGAGCTGGTGCCCAAGAAGAATGCTGAAGAGATAACCAGCTGGGATGCGGGGCCCCCACCACGGGTATCCATGACTGCAAGGTCACATTCAGGTCCAAAGCCTGGCTTTGCGGGGTCCTACCTTGTACTACCTGGTGGGTAAAGTCTACTGGAGCCAAGAACACAGAGGAAGGGCTGCAGGCCGCAGTGGGACACGCGGTGACCCAAGAGCGGGCGTCGGCCTGTGGGCGGTGCAGGCTGCGAGGCTTGGGTCCTGCCTGGGGACATTCTGTCCCTGGGGCGCGGGATAAGCTCCAGTCTCAGCTCTGAATCTGAGTCAGGGGTAAGAAGTTGCTAAAATCAACGCTTTAGGGCCTGGGAAGTGCTGACAAGCCTGCAGGCAGTGCCTAGGGTGGACAGACCGGCAAGCAGTTGCGGGCAGGCCACCAGGGTGGCTTGGGAGCCTGCTGTGCAGCAGGGGGAGGGGGCAGCATCTAGTGAGGTGTGTGTGGGCCTGAGTCCACGAGGCCCAGGTGGCCGCGCCTGTGAGTGTGCGGTGTGCAGAGTGGCCCTCTGCAGAGGGGCCTCTGAGGGTCTGCGGGCTGCCTGGCCATCCAGGGCCCTTCCAGCTGGGTCAAACTCAGGCCAGCCCTCTGCCCAGGGCCCATCTATGGACCAAAGACGGTGTCATCAGGGAGAGAAATTCTAAACGCCAGCTTGTAGGCACTTGCCCCCCACACCCTACCCCGAACTTGAGCCTGCATTCTCTAGCGTCTGGCTAATACAGGGGGATCAGGTTTGATCTCGGGTCAGGGAACTGAGACCCCACGTGCCGCAGGGCAGCCAACCCGTACACCGCAACCAGAGAAGTCCGCAGGCCACAGCGAAGACCCAGTGCAGCCAGAACAAAAAGGCACCAGAGTGCTGCGAGGCTTGTGGAGACACAGGTGGACTCCATTTCCCAGCCTCCCCATGGCTCTCCGAGGCCATGTGACTAGGTTTCAGCCAATGAACGGTGGGCAGGAATAAGGCATGGGCTGCGCCAGCCTTAGGCCAGGTCACAGAGACCTGCTGGGCGACCACCCACCTGCCTGCTCCCCTTCTGCTGACGGGGTGTTGATGGCCCAGGACAAACTGGGAGGAAGCTCAGCGAGGATCTCAGGCCTGGGTCTTTGAATGCATGTTCGGAGCGGGCCCCATACCCGCCTTCACCTCCACCAGAGGTGAGACACAGGAGCAAACATCTGTGAAGTGAAGCCACCGTGAGCGCAGGGTTTATCGGGGACAGCAGACGGTGTCACCTCAGCTAACACGGGCTCCTGGCTGAAGGTGCTTGAGCTCTGGGGCCCAGATGAGGCACCCTTTCCCCGTCACCCTCTGAGATGCTGCAGGCAGCACTGGAGGAGACACTCACGCCCTCGGGCCCTGCACGTACAGTGCCTCAGTTTCCAGAAGTCCGGGTGCCGGGGTGAGCGAGGAGGTCAGGGGCCCCCAGAGGCCCTTGCCGGGAGCCGGCACACAAGATCCCACCCATGACAAGGTCATGAGGGAGAAAGCCTGACGGGCAAGGCGGATCGGGTTTTCAGGGGTTTCGAAAAGCTGCCCCCGGCGCTCACCTTAAAGATGATATCTGTCTTTCTGATGCCTGCCTCAATGGACTACTCCCTAATTTCTGTGACACAGGCAGAAGGCCTTCCCCGATCTCTTCCCAAATAAGAATCAATTTAGAACTTTAATCAATAAGTTTCCCAGGTGGTGGTATTTTATGAGATTATCCAGGGTGAAAGGAGTGTTTTAATTTAAACTCCTTTGCTGGTAGTTTGTTAGCCAAATGCATTTATGCCCTTGGTACTAGTATGCATGATTGCTTATAATATCCTCATCATAAAATAGCATAAAGAACCTGATTATATAAAAGCCCTAATAAACATAGAGCATTTTTGAGGGGTGAAGGAGTCCTATTAGAAAACATAAGAAAAATTATTCTAAAGGTGGTTATTGGGTTAACATTTGCTTGCTGTGTTTTTGCTTTTATTTTATTTGTGTGTGTGTGTGTGTTTTGTTTGTGTGTGTTTTTGTGTGTGTGTGTGTGTGTTTTGTTTGTGTGTGTTTTTGTGTGTGTGTGTGTGTGTTTTGTGTCTTTGCTTTTAATGTGCTAAGGTTGTGTTATAGAAACCATTGTTAACATAGTTAAAGATCTAGAGAAATAAGAGCTAAGCCCTAGTGTGGTAACAATGAGATGGTTGTTACTTGTCAGCCAGGAGTATTAGGCAGAGGCTGCCTCACCAAAGTGGCAGAGTCAGTCTGGGGTAAACTTCTTAGATAAATGCAACTGACAACTTCTGCAGAAGGATTAATTTTTGTGTTAACAAGGTTATACTTCTACTCTGCACTGTTGCCCTATGAGACTGCTACCTTTCAGTTAAGGTCACCATAGAAACAGAAAACAGGTTTACATTCACCTGACTTGCATAAAATGTTAATAGGCCCCAAGGCCAGAAGATAATGTACAAGACCCTCATAAACAAAGAAGTATGCAGAAAACACCCTGGTTTCATGAAGAACAAGCTGATGTAATGTTAAACTATCTTCCCCTTAGAAATGTACGTGTTTTTTTTTTTTAGGGTATAAAAGCTACAGTAAAAAATAAAGCATTGCCAGACTCTGCCAGACCCTGCAAACACCCCCGTCTGGTCATTCTCTCTCTCTCTCTCTAACACCCGCCCCCCCGCCCCCCCAGACTTGGCCCTATCAAGGCTGGTCTCACGTGTCTTCTCTCGCGCGCGGACGCCGTTCATCCTGAGGGTATCCCCTGGATCCTGCCGAGGCTGGACCCCGGCAGGCCCTCAGACTGCTGCCCTGAAGGGCTGTGTGCCCGCCTCCCTGCCCTGAGCTCCTGAGGAAATGGCCTTCCCAGGCCTCCACCCTCCCTGACAGGCCCCAGGCCCATCCGGGGGGAGATCCACATTTCTGCCCCAACCCAGGGCCTGGGTCCTGCTCCGGGTCGCCTGCAGTCGGGGTGCCGGCTCAGGAGCCGGCTGCCTCTGGGGCGGGGCGGCCCCCTGGGGCGGGGAGCAGGCCAGCCGCCGCCTGGTCCTGCTGCCACAGCTGGTCCGCCAGGCTGTTGAGCACATAGGCGACGTCGGCCAGCCCGGCCCGGCCGTCTAGCGTGCGTCCGTCCGCCAGCCGCCGCCCCGGCACGCTCTTCACCCGCAGCAGGGGCAGCGGCCAGGCCTGCCGGAAGGCCGCAAGGTCCCTTTCGGGCACGTCGGTGTGCACGTACTGGTCGAATCTGGAGGCGGGTCAAGGAGCCTGCATGCCTCTGCCTCCCAGTCAAAGCCAGCCTCCTCCCCGTCCCTAGTCCCCCGCACCCCGGTCTGCGGGAGGCCCTGCTGCAGCCTCCAGGGAGCCCGTGGGGCCAGACCCCACTGCGCAGCACAGGCAGGCTGCCGGACCCCCGCTCCTCGCCTCGCCAAACGTGGCCTCTTAACAGTCCCGGGGCCCCCGGAGGATACTTGGAGCCGATGACCATCCTGACCACGCCAGGAGCCTCGCCGGCTACTTGGGCCAGCTGTCCAGGGAGGTCTTCAAAGGAGGCCCGGTCAGTGAAGGAGAAGAGGAAGAGGAACGCGTCTGCATTCTCCTTGCAAGCCTGGGGAGGGAGAGGCCAACAAGAGTCTGCTGCGAGCTCGTCACCTTGGGACCAGAAGCTGTAGGCCCGAGAAGTCTTCCCACCGCCCGTCCATTCACAGCCCGGGAGACAGGCCCGGAGCAGCAGTGGCTGGTCCCGGGGCTCAGCTCAGAGCCCTCCTGGCTGGGCCAGGGTCCTCGGGCCCTCCTGCCGGCCCCTGGTGCCTGCAGACCGCGCAGGCCCGGCTCAGACAACCCGCCCCCCAGACCCCCAGGCCCACCAGCCTGCTCACCGGCAGCATGTGTTCGAACTTTTTGAGTGCAGACTCCCCGCAGTCCCAGAACTCGAAGCGGAACATGACGACGCGGTTGCTGGCCTGCAGCTTGGCCGGCCAAAACACCACGGTGGTCTGGATGCCTGGGGGGGCCGGGTCGGTCACGCGGTGGAGGGGAGGAGAGGGCCAGGAAGGAAATCCTCAGTCTGATGGGGAAGGCACAGTCCCCGATGGGAGAATTCCTGCCCCAGGAGCCTCAACCTACCAGGGAGATGCAGCCCTAGCCATAACCGGGACAGAGCACTGCATCAGCCAAAAAGTTCATCTGGGGGCTTCCCGGGTAGCTCAGCTGGTAAAAAATCCGCCTGCAATGCAGGAGACCCTGGTTCGATTCCTGGGTTGGGAAGATCCCCTGAAGAAGGGAACGGCTACCCACTCCAGTATTCTGGCCTGGAGAATTCCATGGATTGTATAGTCCATGGAGTCCCAAAGAGTCGGTAAGATGGGTTCCTTACCACTAGCACCAGCTGAGAAGCCCTCCCTCTTATGTACAGGGAGAGTTAGAGGTCCCGGAATACTGTCACATGTTGCAACATGATGGTAAATCAGCTTCCGGTGGAAGGAAATGAGAAAGGAAGAGAAGTGCCAGCTCAAGGTTAGACAGGTTACCACCACTGAATCTAGTACTGTCCTGTGCTGTGCTTAGTCGCTCAGTCATATCCGACTCTTTGTGACCCACAGACTGTAGCCCTGGAGAATCCCTCCAGGCAAGAATACTGGAGTGTGGAGAAGGAAATGGCAACCCACTCCAGTATCCTTGCTTGGGAAATCCCATGGGGAGTTTGGTGTGCTATGGTCCATGGGGTCACAAAAGGGCTGGACACAGCTTAGCGACTCAACAGTAACAAATGGCAGTTCTAGGCAACCTATGAGAACAAAAATTTGTAAGAAATTGGGAGTTGGGGCTGAAATCAAAATCCTATTGTTTACAGATGTGAATGTCTATTTAGAAAAACCAAAATAAACTTCAAGCAAATATTTAAACTTAAAAAAAAGGAATACTGGAGTGGGTTGCCATGCCCTTGTCCAGGGTATCTTCCCACCCCAGGGATCAAACCCAGTCTCCCGCATTGCAGGCAGATTCTTTACCATCTGAGCCACGGGGGAAGCCCGCTCTACTACTGACCCCACTATAGTCCCAAGGGGTTGGTACTATTATCCCTGTTGGACAGAGGCACTCATGTAGGCTCAGAGAGGTGCAGTGACTTTCCGGGGTTTCAGGGTAACAGGTGGGGCTGGTTACAGATCACGGCTCATGTGGTCCAGGGCGAGTCCTTTCTCCACCCCAGGGAAGGCCTCCTCGGAGGGACTCACCAGTGGTCTCGTGGTGCACCACGGGCACCTCCAGGCCAGCCAGCTTGGCTACCAGTGCTGTCTTGCCCACGCCACTCTTCCCAGACACGAAGATCTTGTAGCTGGCAGTGTCGATGGCCACAGGCGGGGGAAGCACTGGTCGCTCAAGCAGCCCTGAGGGAAAGTGGGAGCCAGGTGGGGCCGGGGGCCAACCTGGGGCTTTTTTGGTGCCAACCAGCCCTTCTCTCTACAGTAACCATGACAGAGGCTTGCCATACAAGCAGCATCCCCGGGGGAGAAGCTCTGCTGGGACCCCAGTGCTCCCGGGACCAGGCCAGTGCCTACGCCAAATAACACCCCCTTTTTTTTTTTTCTACAAAGTTCCATGCATGAGGTGCTTCTTGTTATTTTTTGCTGCACCATAAGACTTGTGGGATCTTACTTCCCCTGCTGCTGCTAATTTCCTACCAGGGGTTAAACCTGGGCCCCCACAGTGAAAGAACTGAGTCCTAGCCACTGGACCATCAGGGAATTACCTGAGATGGTTTTTATTAATACTATTATCACATATCCCAGGTTTTTCACAGGTGAATGCAAGGTTTTTCCTAATTCTTTCCTCAATGGAGAAATAGCAGCAAAAGTATTCTTAAGTATTATAAATAAGCTCTTTAGAATCAATACTGTCAGATCTTTATGAATGTTTTAAATTAGTTAATTTAATGAATTCAGTGTTTCTTTCTTTTTGCAAAACCATGTAATTTGCAGGATCTTAGTTCCCTCACCAGGGATTGAACCTGGGCCCACAGCAGTGAAAGTACTGAGTTCTAACCACTGGACCGCCCTGAGTGTTTTTAATTTAAAACTTGCAACAAAACTAAGTATAAACTATGATCCATCATAGCGTAGGACCTGGAAGTCTTAAAGCGCGGGCTGCCCTCTCACTCTCCGGTCTCAGCATTCTGGCGCTTTGTGTCTCCTGGCCAAAGCTGGGCTCAGGGTCAGGGTTAGTGCAGTCCATGCCAGACCCCTCTGCGGGCCTGCCAGCTGGGTGACTCAGCTTCCTCCTGGGGGACAGGGGTGTCTTATCCTGGAGACAGCAGGACATGGAAGAAGCTTGTGTCTACTCACTAGGGGAGCTGGGACAAGTCTGCAACGTGGTATTGAGAAGGTTAAACTGGCATCCAGGATACAAAGTGCCCAGCAGAGGGCCTGGCGCCGGCTGAGGGCTCAGTCAACAGCCTCTCTGGTGACAGGGGTTCCTGGCAGTGTTTTGCCTGTTTCCATGTTCCTGGCTCTGATGATGGAATTAGCTCTAAGGAGATTTGGGGGTGGGGGCCCACGATAGGGCTTCTAAGGTTCCCAAGGATGGGGAGAGGGTGGAGCCGGGCCTCAGTGCCCTGTCTCTGCCCCCTCGCCCCTCCCCCAGGTAACCCCCCTCCCAGGGACAGGCAGGGGAGAGTCCCCCTCGACCCCTCCCCTCCCCCACCCTCTCCCCCAGGTGACCCCCCCACCCCCAGGGACAGGCAGGGGACCGGCAGCGGAGGGGGCGCTCACCAAACACCCGCCGGCGGCTCTTGCGCAGGACGCAGGCCAGGTACTCCTTGCCCTGGGCGCTCTCGTGCCAGTCTGGGACAATTACCGAGCCCGGGGCGGCCGGCCTGGCCATGGCTGGGCGCCCTGACGTGGAGGGAAGGCGGAAAGCAGGGCACGGGAGATGGAGAGGGAAGCTGGGTCAGTGGCCTTCACCTGCCCCCGGGCTCCTCTCTGGAGGCCCCCGCCCTCGGAGGACGGGGCGATGGTGGAGCCCCAGCTTCTTACTGTTCCGATTGAGGCTTCTGGCCTCCAAGCCCCCTTGCAACACCCCGGCTCCCTCTCATCGCGCAGATCGCGCTAGACGGTCACCCCATCACCGCTCCAGGAGGTGTTTGCACGGCCCCCGAGCCGCTTGTCACCTCCGGGGAGGTCACACGGCCTTGCCTCTCCTCCGCCTCCTCGATCTCAACCCCCAGCGCTGACATCGGCGGCCCACGCGGACAAAGGAACTCTGTGGAGCCCTGCTTTGAAGGCCCGCCCCGCCGCTCAGGGCCGGCGCTCCAGGCGCATGCGCGGAGGCTGTCGTCATGGAGACGCGGGGCGGGGCGGACCGCGGGGCGGGGCAGGTCTGTCCGCCTGGGCGGCCGCGCGGGCTACGGGGCCGGGCCTGGCCTTCTCCGTTGCTTTGTTCCAGCCTCAGTCTTCCTTCCAAAATTTGAACAAATCTCCCTTCTGCCTCTTTGCTCCCCAGTTTTCCCTTCTATAAAGTGGAGGTAAAATGCTGTTACCTCCCAGGATTCTTTACAACAGTCACAAGTCCTTAGCAGTGTGCGGGACGTTTAGTTATTGTTGTTGTAACAATAACATCATTATTATTGATCTTGCTTGGCAGGAACTCGACGTCAGTTGAACACCTGTAGCTTCACCGATGAGGAAACAACTGCTGAGAGTGGTCAAGGCCTTAAAAATGAGTCTAAGGCTTTCCAGTCACTCATTTCTTGATTGATTGATGGATGGATGTCACTTATTCAACAAATAATTGCCGGGCACCTATTTTCTGCCCGGTTTGTTCTAGCTGCTGGGACTGCAATGGCCACGAGAAGTCCCCGTCCTCCCGGAGCTGACATCCCGTTCCATTCAGGAGCCGTGAGCCCCTCCCCACTGTCCCCACACTGGGCGCCAGGCCTGTCACCCAGATGGGTGCTCCGTAAATGCCCCTTCGCTGGACAGTATGCAAAATAGCTCATTACTGAAAAGCTGTCTACTACACCTTCTACCAGTACCTGCTTGCCATGCCTTCAAGTAGGCAAATCACTGTTTTAAATTCTATGAATTAGGCTTCCCAGGTGTCTCAGCAGTAAAGAATCCACCTGCGTGCAAAGCAGGAGAATCAGTTTCAATCCCTGGTCAGCAGGATCCCTGGAGAAGGAAATGGCAACCCACTCCAGTGTTCTTGCCTGGAAAATCCCGTGGACAGAGGAGCCTGGTGGGCCACATTCCTTGGGGTCACCAAGAGCACACACGCTATGATTAACCTTCATTGAAGGCCAACTAAGTGCCAGATGGTGGGGGCTTTAGAGAGGCTAGTTATTATTTCTATAAACAAACTTGTGTAGGAAATACTATTACCCTCCTTTTATTTTACAGATGAGGAAACTCAGAGGCAATGGGATTATCTGAAGTCACACCACATAGGTGGTCAGTGGGCAAACTAGACTCAGAATCCAGGGTGCCTGGACTCTGAAGGACATCTCTGGTCTGCCGCACTGGGTCTTGTGTGTGTGTGTGTGTTTTTTAATTAGTTATTTATTTGACTGCACCAGTTCTTCATTGAAGCATGTGGGATCTAGTTCCCCGACCAGGGATGGAACCCAGGGCCCCTGCATTGGGAGCACAGAGTCTTAGCCACTGGACCACCAGGGAAGTCCCTGGGTCTTGTGTTTTTAAAACTTTGACCCCAGTCCCTAGGAGGGACATTCCTAGCAAAGCTGAACACAGCCAGAGGGCCATGAGCCCGCAAATCATTGAGGACGGTTCTCAGGCCCCAGGGGGGAGTGGAGTCAGGATGTGTAAGCCGGGGCACTGGCCTTCAACTTGCTTACAGCGCAGCAGAAATACAGGCTTGTAACCACCCCTGCAGGGCCCTGCAGCTGGAAACCGCTGCCTGTGCTCCCAGGTCACTCAGTTCCCCATCCCACAGGTCCTAGCGCGTCTGTGTGGTCCTCACCGTGGACCAGGGGAGCCTCAGTCATGAGACTCAGACCTGATGTGTGTTTAGGTTTCTGGACTTCACAGCCAGCCCTGCCCCGGCGTGGCTTGTGGAGGCATAGGGAGAGTGGGAAACAACTTAGCCGTGTGTGCTTGCTAGTTAGCCTGGAGGCCAGGTAAGATGTGCAGCCCTCCTGGGCTCAGTCAGGGAGGCTGGAGGTCGGAGGCGCTCGTGGCCAGAGGGTGGGGGGGATCAGTCTTCACGGCCTCAGGAGCTCTCAGGAGTGGAGAGGACACTGCAGTGAGCTGAATCGGGAGCCTGTTCAAGATGCAGATTCTCAGGCCCTGCCCCCCAGAGAGTCTACGTCGGGGGGTCGTGTGTGTCCGTGAGCCCGCACGTTTAACAAGAGCGCTGGGTGGTCAGAAGCCGGACTCTGCGTCAGTCTGCTTGGGCGCCACAGTGTGGGTGGCATAAACAGTACAAACTCTCCACAGCTCTGGCAGCTCGCAGTCCAAAATCAAGGCGCCAGCAAGGGTGTCTGGCGAGCACGTTCCTGCTGGTTTGCAGGCAGCCGCCTCCCCTCCTTCCTCCCGGCGTCCTCTCCAGCCCTTCTCGGTTCACACACTCCCTTGCCGTCTCCTCCTTTTTGTAAGGACACCAGAGATACGGATTAAGGCCCCACCCTTATGGCCCCATTTAACCTTAATTGCCTCCCCAGAGGCCCAATCTCCAAACAAGTCTCCTTGAGGAGTTAAGGCTTTGACCTGTGGTGGGGGGTGACACATTTCAGCCTGAAACAAGGCCGAGGACCTCACTTACACAATCGCCACTGCTCAGCTCAGGACAGGAACCAGTCACGGTTGGCGCCTGGCCTTTCAGAAGGATGCTGTGAGCACAGTCTGGGGAGTTCCTCTGACCCCTAAACTACGTGTCCCATAAGGGTCTCCTCTTTGAGTCACAGGTGAAACAGGGAGACACTACCTACTTAAAGGCCCTTCCAGTGTAGAACCTTTTGATTAATCCACTCATTTCTTCATGGTTTGGACTTCTCCCCAGACTGAGCACCTCCTGGACAAGGCTCCACAAGGGCTCACGAGGAGAACTTGTCACGGCAGGGACACGGGGGGCCCACGTGGGCAGACACAGACCGGAGGACCTGCAGGGCGGGGCAGCCTCTGCGCCACCGCGCTGGCCGCAGTCACTGCTTCCTTCGGGGCTTCCCTGCTTGCCCCCTCAGCGCCCAAGTGATCTTTTTGCACATAAATCACTACTGTTGCCCACACGACTGCAGTCTCCAGTAGTTTTCACTGCGCTCAGAACAGGATCCAAACTCCGCGTCTTCAAGGCCTTCCGTGACTGAGCCCTGACCACCTTGTGCTTTCACCCCAGCCATCACCTTCCTCCCCGGCCTGCTGCACTCAGCGACCCTGGTCTTCTTCCACTCCCACTGAGGGGCTCTGTGTCGCATTTCCCACCCCCGGCAACTCCCTCCACCGCCCCAGGGCCTCAGGAGGCTGGCTCAGGGGAGCCCTTGCCCAGGTCCCGGGTGGACATCGCCGGCCACTCAAGGGCTTGCCTGCACACCCCAGCTCACTCCCACATCATTCTTTCTTGATCCTGAAGTTTTATTTACTTGTTTATTTTTGGCTGTGCTGGGTCTCTGCTGCTGCGCACACTTGCCCTTGTTGCAGCGAGTGGGGGGCTACTGTCCAGATGCGTTTATGAGGCTTCGCTTGTCTCAGAGCCCCGGCTCCAGGTGACGGGCTTCAGCACTTGTGGTGCGTGGGAGCGTCCCAAACCAGGGATCAAACCTGTGTCCCCTACATTGGCAGGTGGATTCTTAACCACTGAACCAGCAGGACAGTCCTGAGACTGACATTTTTAAAATGTATTGTCTGTCTCCCTCACCTTGGACGTAAGCTAGGATTGGAGGCCTTGCCATTTTGCTCTGTTATATCCCTGTTCTACCACAAACTGGGTGACTTAAACAACAGAAATGTATTTTCTCAGTTCAGGAGCTTAGAAACCTGAGATCAAGGTGTTAACAGGGTCAGTTTCTTGGAGGGCTGAGTGGGAAGGACCCACTCCAGGCCACTCTCTGGCTTGGCCACCTTCTCCCTGTCATATTCCTTCCCTCTGGGTAAGCCCCAGTTCAGTTTCTCCTTCTTATGATGATACCAGGCCTATTGGATTGTGGTCCCCTCTAATGATCTCACTTTAACCACTTCAGTAAAGATCTTATCTCCAGGACTTTGCTGTGATCCAGGGTTAAGATTCTGCTCTTTGACTACAGGGGGTGAGGGTTTGATTCCTGATTGGGGATCTTCAACGCATGAAGTTTTTCCAGGGTAGGGGAGACATAATTCAGCACATAATAATCCCTACTACCTAGAACATGTCTGAAATAGAGTAAAAACTTAATAAAAATATGCTGACTGACTGCCTACGGCTACAACATGAAGAATGGCTTGCAGAAGGCAAGCCTAGAAGAAGGACCATTAGGAAGCAGGATGCACATTCTAGGAAAGCGTAGAGTATGTGCATTTGTCAAATATTTATGAGCCAAGAGTGGGAAGCGATACAGGCCCTGCCCTCATGTGGCCCACCCTCTGGTGGAGACTGAGCAGCAGCGCAGTAGGGTAGACAGGATTCTAGCTGGTAGATTTAAAGTGTACAGATCCCCTCAACGTCTCTATTTTGGCTGAGCTGGGTCTCGGCCGCTGCGCACCTGGGCCTTCTCTGGTTTCAGCGAGCGGGGGGCTGCTGTCTGCTGCGGTGCGGGCTTCTCACCGCGGGAGCTTCTTTCACTGGAGCGTGGGTTCTAGGCATGTGGGCTTCAGTGGCTGTGGCCCGTTGGCCCAGCAGTCATGGCGAGTGGGCTGAGTTACCCAGCAGGATGTGGAATCTTAGTTTCCGGACCAGGG